ATAAAAAGCCGAAGAAAGAGCGGCATAAGCCAAGGTAAGTTTCTCTTGCTCATTGGGATAAGATATTTTGTTTGGTTTTAATTATTTTCAAAAATAAAACCTTATTCCATACATGTTTTTATTTGTTTTAGCCTTGGTTTGCATGATTAAAATTTCTTAAAATCCATGCATTTTTTAAAATAATCCCCAAAAATCCCTGAAAAATAAAGTTTTAAAACTTGCATCATTTTAGGGGGAGTTTTGTTGTAAATGCACCTTATGCCCAAACTATCATTTTTAATTCATTTTGATAGGGGGAGGGTTTCAAGAAGATATACATGGTTAAAATTTTCAAAATGCCCTTTTTGATTTTGACAAAAGGGGGAGAAGATGTATACTTCAAAGTGGTGCATATGCAACTTGACTTGAGTGCATTCTTGTGTAACTATTTGCATCAAAATAAAACTTTTAATAAACACAAGAAAAGTTCAAAGTGGGTATTTTAAATATGCTTATTCTTAGGGGGAGCTTGCTTGCTTCATTTTTATACTCCCGCCTAACTCACTTTGAAGTATATTGTTTGTCAACATCAAAAAGGGGGAGATTGTTAGCCTTGGTTTGCTAAGCCTCATGTTTTGATGTTAACAAACAATATAAGAGCTTAACGTTTGTTTAAGTGTTTCAGGAAAACAAGAATCCATTAAGATTCGGTACTCAAGAATGCAGTCGAAACACTAAAACTAGCGTAGAATATAGGTAGAAACCAATGTAAGGATATGACTTTATATACCTATATTCACAAGCTCAAAAGCACCCACAAAATATGTTAAAAACCATCACATAAACATTTTCAAATATCTAAAAGGTTTAAACTCAAACACGAAGGATTAAGGGAATTTTGGAAAAATCAGAACAGAGTCACGGTACCCCTAGCGGTACGCCACACGGTAGGGTATACCGCCTACACGGTACCCCCATACCGTGTAACGGTACCTAAGTACCGACGGTAGGCGTAGACGGTTGGCCGAACCCGTCCTAACCAGGTACCGCCAGAGGCGAACTGAACTTTTGGAAGACACGGTACTCCCACACGGTAGGCCGTACCGTGTCACGGTACCTAGGTACCGGATGACACGGGCCCCCCTACCGTGAAGGGTACCGAATCTGTTACAGCACTGTAGCAAAATTGCCAATTTGAATTAAATCAACCCTAATCACCTCCCAACGGCTAATTAACATCTTCCACTATAAATACAAGCCTAATCCTTCATATTTCTTCAAGAAACAAAGCTCTAAACATCCTCCCTTTATATTCTAAGTGTGTTCATTCTTTTATTAATTATTTTCAATATTTTGGCTATTTCAAGAGCCTTAA